GCCTTTTTGTACTTCCAAATGGTTGGCATCTATTCCCTTGAAATCCTCCCCTAAAAACAGTACAAAAATGGAATTTGAAAAAGAAACACCTTGCCAAAAGTACAGTCAGCTTTCTCACCTTGTGAGCAGTGTGATTAAAGTATCACATTTAAATACTGGATTTCTTCCTTTCTTCTTCACGGGATGGGGATTTGTGTGGGTGGTGGTGTGGTGCTGGCTCTAAAATCTCACAGCGCAGAGCAGGGACTTGGAGCACCAAGCTCTCCGACGCCTCTCGGCTCTGCAGGAGGTGCTGCCTTCCCAGACGCCCGGGCTGGCATCTCTCCGCCCTCTCTGGTGAGGCCACGAGGGAATGCCAGCGAGGGAGGCGTTGCGCCCGGGGCTAACCAAGGGCACAGGCTCCAGAGACAGGCTGAGCAGAGCTCCACGTCCCAGAATCTGGACACACAGACCCCTTTGTACTCCTTGCATGGTCAGACAGGGACAATGGAGACAACTCAGAACAGAGGTGGGGACGCTGGTCAAGGGTTAGAAACCCACTTGCTTTCCCGGCCCTGCCACGGGCTGTGTGGTCTTGAGGAAGTCATTGGACCTCACAGAACCTGCTGTCACCTCCTCCCATCCCTCAGTGAGGAGGCTGGACTTAAAAGACTTCAAGTTCACTTCCGTCTCTACAGGCTAACATGCTGTGTCTCACCACATGTGGCCTTACCTCTAAGAATGGACAAGTTCCAGTAATTCTCTGTGGCTACCGTGTTGCCCTCAGCTCATCGCGCTGTGCAGAGACAGAGTCTCTCCTGAGAGGGGCAGATCTTCTCTACCGGCACCACTGGGTTGAGCAGACCACCCTGCCTGCCCTCTCTGCGGGGCCAGGCTCTGGGCCTTCTGAGGCGACTGTCCTGGACGTGCCCCAAGCCCTCTTGTCTCCTCGGCCTCACACGGCAGGGGAGGGGCCGTGTATCGGTCTGTGGATACGTGTATGTCTCCATGGACACAAATTATAGTAAAAATTCAGTTTCACTAAATGTACTAAATGTATCCTGGATTGGATCCAAGAACAGAAAAAGGACATTAGTAGAAACACTGGTGAAACCCAAATGAAGTCTAGAGTTTAGTAATAGTGCATCAACGTTAATCTCTTAGTTTTGATACATGTACCACAGTTAATAAGATGTTAACACTAGGGGAAACTGAGTGTGGGATATATGGGAACACTCCATACTATCTTTGCAAATTTTCCGTAAATCTAAAATGGTTCCCCCTAAAAAAGTTTATCACAAAAATTCATTTCTGGGGCGCCTGGGTGGCTCAGCCGGTTGGGTGTCCGACTTCGGCTCAGGTCACGATCTCATGGTTCGTGAGTTCGAGCCCCGCATTGGGCTCTGTGCTGACAACTCAGAGCCTGGAGCCTTCTTCAGATTCTGTGTCTCCCTCTCTCTCTGTCCCTCTGGCACTCATGCTCTCTCTCTCTCTCTCTAAAAAATAGACATTAAAAAAAATTTTTTTAATTAAAAAAATTCATTTCCAAAGTTTTATTACAACCCAATATAATATACTGATTTGGAGGTTTAACTAGCAAATCCACTATTCAGTTGAACTTTCAAGGTACACAAATCTTGTGTGTACAGCTCATCGAATTGTCACATGAGAATTAGCCCTCCTAAGCTGCACCAGATCAAATAGTAGAATGTTTCCAGCACCCAGAAGACTCCTCCTAGCTTCCCATGAACAGCTATCCTCCTCCAGAAATAGCTACCTTCCTGATTTATACACCACGGATTTGTTTTGCGTGTTCCTGAACTTCATATAAATAGAGTCATCAAGTATGTAGTCTTTTGAATCTGGCTTCATTTGCGCAAATATATAATGTCTGGAAAACCACCTACGCTCTCGTGTGTAGCAGTACTTCATTCTTCTATTATCGTGAAATATTCCTTTGCACGAATATTGCCCAATTCGGTTATCCATTCTGATATCGACTGACATTTGGATTGTTTCCCCTTTGGGACTCTTACAAACAAAGCTGCCAGAAACATTCTTAATACGTGTCCTTGGCAGCTATATGCATTCATGTCTTTTAGATACGTACTGCAGAGAGGAAGTGCTGGGTCATAGAGTATTTGCATGTTCAGTTTTAGTAGATACTACTGAACAGCTTTCCAAAGTGGTCATACCAGGTACGCTTCCTCCAGAAATGCATGAGAATTCCAGTTGCTTCACGTCCTTGCCAATACCTGCTGTTGTCAATCTTTCTCACTGTAGTCATTCTGGTGGGTATCTCATAGTTTTAATTTGCATTTCTCTGACAAACGTGTTTAGCAGCCTTTGTGATATCCTCTTTTGTGAAGTGCCTGTTCAAGTCCTTTGCCCATTTTCGTTGGATTGTCTTTTTCTTATTGGTTTGTAGGGACTCTTTATAGATTCTGGATACAAGTCCTTTGCCAGACATGTGTGTTATAAATATCTTCTCCCCATCTATGGCTTTTCTTTTCACCCTCTTAGTGGTGTTTTTCTTTTTTTTTTTTTTTTTTTTTTTTTTTTAGTGTTTATTTATTTTTGACAGAGAGAGACAGCATGAGCGGGAGAGGTCAGAGAGAGAGAGAGAGAGAGAGAGAGAGAGAGGGAGACCAGAATCTGAAGCAGGCTCCAGGCTCTGAGCTGTCAGCACAGAGCCCGACGCGGGGCTCGAACTCACAGACCGCGAGATCATGACCTGAGCCGAAGTCGGACGCTCGACCGACTGAGCCACCCAGGCGCCCCTTAGTGGTGTTTTTCAATGAGTGGATAAGTCCGACTTTAACCAAATCAACTATTGCTTTTTTTTCACTCAAATCAGAAGACTTTGATATTTGCATACATTTAGAAGTAGAAGGAACTTTAGAGATCATCTGTGCTAGCAGGTTCTTGATCCTTATGTTCACTAGAATAACTTGAGGAGCTTTTGAAAAAAACACTCATCCCTGGACGCCACCACCAGAGATTCTGTATCAGTTGGTCAGGGCTGGAGCCCAGGCATCATCACGGTTTATAAGCTCCCCAGGGAATTCTAAAAAGCAGTTGTAATGGAGACCCACTGACTTGTGAACGGAGAGAGTCTAAGGGAATAATTTTCTGAGCTTCGCAGTGTCCGGATGTCTTATCGTATTCCTGACTCATCTCAAGACCCTTAGCAGATGATTGACTTTTCCAGAGGAGTTAGCAGAGGCCAGCTCCCGATACAATCCTCGGTGGGTCTTTCTCTCTTAAAGCTCTCAGTTTATCTGGGATGGTTCTGGCTGATGCCCACTGTCTTGGTGTAATTATTAATAACATTCTCCTTTCACTCTCAAAAGTGTCCTGATTTGAATAACACACTGTGGCACCACCCTACCTCTTAACCTCTTAGTGCACTGCTCCTGGCCTGTGTGGCCCTGTCCTCGTTCTCCTGACCAGGCCTCTGGCCTCTGCATAGCTAACTTTGCAGGGTTTAGAAGACAGCAGGTGACATCCCCAACGCAGAGGAGCTCTACTTTCCGCCCCAGCAACGAGCAGGCCCTAACTCCTTATCCTTCCAGCTGGATTTCACAAAACCCCACACAGAGAAGTAGCACCCAGATAGGAGGCCAGGGCCGGGAAACACCCAGAACAAAAGCCACACCTCCAGCTCCCTACCCTGTGAAAATTCCATTTAACCACTGCCTGGCCACATGGAGACTCGGCTCCGTTGCAAGAATCCATGACTGTTGTCATCGATCCCTGCCATCGAACTATTAGACTGATCCAATCAGTAGGAGGGGCTCTGATGGGGGGAGGGGGCGGATGGACTTGGGACATATGACAAGAAGCATCAGCCCCCTCCACCCGGGTCGGGCCCCCTCTCAGGTTATCACTCTCATGACAACCAGAAGCGGCCTTCTCCCTGCTCTTTCTACACAGCAAGATCTACACAAGCACACCCCTGCCCCCCTCTCTTTCCACATGGTGGCATACCTGTCATGGCAAAGGCTGAACGCCCCGGAGCAGCTTTGTGCCACAGACGCACATCCAACAGCCCAGCCCCTCTTGCCCACTTCCCTCTTCTGAATTATCTGATTCATCTGAATTTCATTCCTACCTTTAGCCGCATCACCTGTACAAAAATAACTTAGGATGGATGACTGTGGCAGGTTGAGTGGTGGCTCCAAAAGATAGATCCACGTCCTAACCCTCAGAACCGGTGAAAGTGGCATCCTTTGGAAAAGAGTCTAGGCAAATATAATTGAGTGAAGGATCATCCTGGGTTACCCAGGTATGAAGAGAAAAACACAGGGGAAGGGGAGAAAGCCATTCAAAGACAGAGGCATTAAAGGGAGGTAGCCGTAAGCCGAGGGCTGCCTGGGGTCACCAGATGCCGGAAGGGGCAAGGCAGGGTTCTCCCCAGGTCCTGCTGACACCTTGATTTTGGACTTCGGCCTCCAGAACGGTCAGAGAATGAATTTCTGTTGTTTTAAGCCACGAAGTTTGTACTGATTTGCTACGGCAGCTTGAGGAGTTACCTTAATTTTCCTAGCCCCCCTTACCTCCCTGCAAAGCTGTCTCCCATGCTGTCTGCTCTAAAGCATCATCAGACACACAAACACACACACACACACACACACACACACGCACATGCACACTCACATGCACACACACCCCTCTGCTAATTTGCATCTTTGTCTCCGTCTCCTCCCAGGAACATGATGAGCGTTTACCAAGAAGAAATGGGCTGGACTCGACCATTTATCAGGACCCGCACAGAAGCGGGGGCTGGGGGGGGGGGGGCAACAGGCAGGCTGAGCCATGCAGAGCGACGTCTCCCCATCTTCCCTGTCGAGGGGCCGTGGGAAGCCAGGTTCCTTCAACTTCTGATTGAAAACCGAATCCCTCGGAAGGACGGAAACATCCAAGCAGGAAGAGAGCCAAGAGGCAGACGTCTCCACACACTTTCAGTGAGGGGAGCCGAGAGCTGGCCCCCAGAGCCCAGAGGGAAACCCACGGGCCTCTCACTCGGGGTGTTCAGGAGGAAGGGGGGCCCCAGGCCGGCAGGAGTCCTTCCTGGATGGCACACAGCTGGCTCCCAAAGACAAAAACTCAGCTGGGAAGGCTTGTTTCAGGGTGAACGTGACGAAGATGACCGCCTCGTAATCGTCCGATTCGTACAGACACCCGAACTGCGGTGACCCGTCAGGGCCGGTGCCCATGCTCTGGAGGTCTGAGTAAGCGCAGCTGCCCGTGGCCAGCAGGGCGGGCTCCGACCAGGCCGCGGGGCCCGGGTGCGGCTTGCTGAGGTACGCGCCCAGGTGGGCTCTCTGCCGTGGGTCGGTGGGGTGAGTGTAGAGCAGCCATCTGTCCGAGGCGTCCGTCCCCGCCCCGGGGCCGGGAAAGCTGACGATGCTCCCTTGGCAGCCGTGCGGAGGCTCCACGAGCTCCTCCACTAGCTGGGCCTCCTTGAAGTCGAGGCCCTCGTTGGTGCTCTCGGCCTGGACCCTGGCTCTGAGGGGGCTCCTCGCGTTCAGATATACGACCCTCTGCTCTGCACCCCCGACTTCGGCCACCTGACACTCCACGGTGTCCTGGGCCACGAAGTTCCCTCTCTGCCACGTGTGCCCGTGGTCATGGCTGACGAAGCAGAAGGCAAACGGCGAAGGCCGCCGGTGGGGGTGAAGGTTCCGGTAAGCGTAGGCGGGCACCACCAGACTCCGCGTCTTGTTGCGCAGCTGCAGGCAGTGCCCCGGACCCACCGCAAAAGTGGCCCACTCCTTGTGGGCTGTGCCGATGGCGGGGCCAGTGAGGTCTCGGGCGGGGCTCCAGGACCTCCCGTGGTCGGGGCTGGTGACCTGGCACAGCCGAGTCACGTTGACCCTGGTGTGGAGCTGGTGGTGCTCGGACACCTGCCCCGGGATGGCGATGAAGAAGAGGAAGAGGGTTCCTGTCTTCTCGTCGTACAAGGGGCTTGGGTTCATGGACCGGTGGCCCTCCAGCTGGGCCTGGGCCACCACCTCCTGAGCGTGCCACTGAATGTGAGGAGACAGGAAGGAGGAGAAGAACGACTTTGAAATGGCCGGTGACAGCGACAGTGGCAGGAACTGCAGTGTGGGGAGACGGGCAGGTGGCGCATCCCACGGGAGAAACGTCAAAAAGTCACGCGGCACGCATCCACCCGCGCAACGTCTCCCCGGAGCGCTGGGAGCCCAGCCCCTCCGTACTCCCTCCCTGGCGGCACACTCTTCATTCGAGGGGCTACCGCTGCCGTTTCCAGCAACATACGTTACAGAGCACCCGCAGAGTGCCAGACCACAGCATGCGAAGACGATTCGGGCACAGCCGTTCCCAGGTTCATCCCGGTCCCTTCCACTCACCAGCCCGGTCCAGTTTCCCATTCTTGAAAAATAAAGCCTTAGAGTAACGCCAGTAGTCTGACCATGATGGGGCAGAATGTGACAATCACCTCCCATTTGCTACACATCACAGTCTATTAATGCAGCCTAGGAAGGATAGCACCACAACACCGAGGACTCACAAGGAGTTTCCACGGTTCCTGAGTCTGTGGCCTACATGCAGCAGCTCTGCCCTCTATCTCCGTCCATTAATAGCCCTCCACCAGTGAACGGTTGGAGGGGTAGACACCGTGCCCAGAGCACGATGTCTGTTATGTCGTCTAACACTAATCCCTGACTCCTGGGGGACAGGTGTCACCAGCTCCGTCTCCCGTCTGGGGAATGAGAGGCTTAGACAGCATGGATGAGTTGCCCAAGCCCATGCCTCTGATCAGTGGTAGAACCAGGACTTGAACCCAAGTCCATCTGCTTCAGACCCCATGCTCTGGCTGGGTACTGTGTCATAAAGACCATGGAATAATGATAATAGTATATTAACCCCTTCAAATGTGATAAACCAGCCTTGGGTGTCTTCATCAAAATTAAATACTTGGTCTACATGCTGCAATCTCAAGACACAAGTTCCAACCTTCACCTTGCTCCCCAGGTTAATTTTACTAAAAGGATACTCTCACCCCCCCCCACCACCAGTTATGTGATACTAAACTACCCCTCCCTCAGGTTTTCAGGGAGGCGGGGAGCTGTCCGAACATCAGTTTCCCTGTCCAACTTGTCCTGTTATGCAAGAAAGCGGAAGCAGCCAGGCCAGCTGAACTTGCTCACGGTGACCCCATGTGGGTCACCCTCACTGGGGACACCTTCTCTGCCCCACCTCTGATGGGTCTCTGGGCCCCTCTTGGGATTCAGCGTGTCTTATCCCTCTGTTCCCCAGACGCCGGCCATCTAAGCATGTCATGGCCCCTGGATTCCCAGCACTTGTAGCCTCGCCCTGCCTTACCTGGACCTGATGGGTGGATGCGTCATAGCTTCCTCTGCGCAGGACGATCAGCTCTGCGTGCTCATCCTTCTTGCTTACCCGCTGTTCCGCAAAGGCCAACACTGTCTTCTGCTCAGGCAGATACAGCAGAGCAGGGATCCTGTAGGTATGGGCTCCTGACTGGAACACTCTCTCCTTCTGCAGGATGGGGCACGACTCCATGGGGCTTGGGGGAGGGCACAGGACAGGCAGGTGAGTCTCTTGCATTCACATCCTGAGACGGGGCCACGGCCACCCTCCCAGGAAGGGGCTGCTCACCCTGCGGGCAAGCCACCCGACGTTGGGGTGGCCTGTCCTTCTTCCCAGTGGGGGCTCATCCCCCTTTATGACATTCCAAGACCCTTTCTGCCAACTGTGCACATGCCCCTCGTAGGGCCTGGCAGCCGTGTATGCGTGAGACATGGGAGACGAGGTCTTCGGAAAAGAGTATTCTGTGCCGTATTTTTATTATAAGCTAACAAACTTCCTTACAACAGATTCGTGATAACCTTCAACTGCTTTTCCCAAACCCAACTCATCAATCAAATGCTAAACCCTGAGTGGGAAAGGACTGCTTGCCGAGGGGCTCCCCGCAGCTGTCCGGCTGCCAGAAAATGACACATGGGAGATTTTTTTTATAACTGCAGAGCCCTAGAAAGTTGCCTTAGCAAAAAGAAAAAAAAAATGTGGGAAAAAAAAACAGGCTCCATTCTCAAGGCTCTCGTCCCCAGGCTGCCTGAGGGGAGGCCCAGTTGCACCCACCATGGGGGCTCCCCGCCCAGGGCAGGGAGGGTGTGCAGGCAATGGAAGACAGAGGCTCCTGACACCCCACCCGGGCTGGAAGGGTCTTCCGGACATGTAAGAAAATAAAAGAAAAAAAAAAAAAATAAGTATTTGGCCAGAAAGGGTAGGGAGAGCTGGAAGTAACTTGGTGATGTGGGTGACAGTGGTCCCTGTGCCGGGCCACCTGGTTCCCCCTTCAGGGTGACTTCACCCCCAGCTTCAGGGAGTGCTGGCTGCAGAACAGATGGGCCTCGGCTGTCAGCCCAGGGGAGGGACAGGACTGCCAGCAGCTGAAAAGAACCAAGGTCATACCCCAGGAAGGGCTCCACCTGCCAGCCAGCCTGCCCAGAACGTAAAGACTTGGCTCCCCTGTCCTACCTGGGATGCTCTCAAGGACCGGCCCAGCTCCAGGGCTCCCGTGGGCTCCACTGAGGCTTCCCAGACACTGCATCACAGCCCCCCTCCTCCTGCCTGCTCCTACTGCCCTCCCCTCCCTTCCACCGAGCTGACCCCAGGAGGCGCCCCCACAAACCTCCTGTCCATTTCGGAGCCTGCTTCCTGGGGAGCCCTGCCTGCAACAGGCCTTCGGGGAGGGGAAATGGAAAGCGGGGTGAGCAGTAGGCAGCACACAGCCTCTCCTCTGCACCCTTTCCTACCACGTCCGGGGATTCTCTATTTAAAAGTTAATTCAACGTTTCTGAGAAACGAGTGCAATCTACCGGTATTCTATTCAATCCACAATGAATATTATTGCTAGGCCAAAATAACAAAATAAAACTAATGAGGGCAAACACTGCACAAGGTAAAAATGTGTGTTTGCCTAAACGTGAGCGGAAGAGGTAAGTCTTCATGGTAAAATCTGGACCTGGAAACTGTCATCCAGGAACATGGAGTTTAGTAGACAGAAGGGTGGCTACGTTGAAACTTTGTTATGAAATGTAGGTGGGAGGGGCGCCCGGGGGGCTCAGTCGGTTAAGCCTCTGACGTCCCACTTCGGCTCAGGTCCTGATCTCTCGGCTTGTGGGTTTGAGCGTCTGGGCTGTGTGCTGAACAGCTCAGAGCCTGGAGCCCGCTTCAGATTCTGTGTCTCCCTCTCTCTCTCTGCCCTTCCCCCGCTCACGCGCTGTCTCTTTCTATCTCTCAAAAATAAATGTTAAAAAAGAAATGTAGATGGGGAAGGATCAAATATGATTAAAAATAAAAATGAAATGGGGGAGAAAGAGGCAGGGTAAACAGCATTCTCCAGAAAACCGATCAACAGTTTATTGGGCGTGTATCTTGGGTAATGTACCTAGGAGTGGAATTGCTGGGTCATATGGTAACACTAACTGCCTGACTGTTTCCACATCAGCAGCAATATTTTACATTCCCACCAGCCATGTCAAGATTCCAATCTCTCAATGCAACACTGGTTATTGTGGTTTTTTTGATAACAGCCATCCTACGGGGGTTAAGTAGCATCCCACTGTGGTTTTGATTTGCATTTCCGGGATGACTAACGATGTTGAGCTGGTGCTCACTGACCATCAGAGTTGGATTTTAGCCTGGAGGCAATGGGAAGATTTCGGATTTGTTTAGGCAAGGCAGTGATCTAACCCGATTTATTTTTTAGGAAGTCCCTCTTTTGGCCCCAGGGAACTGTTGCTGAGGGTGTGGGATGGGGGGGGGGGGGGGGGGGGTAGGTTGCAGAAGATGAATTTGTTACAAGCTTCAGGTTTGCACTGTTTTCCGGACACCTTCCTTAGACTCTGTTCTCCTTTAGGGTGGGGACGAACTTTTTCATTCAAATAGCAAATATTTATTGTGCTTCTACCTTGGGCCCTGCATTGTTCTAGAAACTCAGGATGCTTTGTGAATAAAAACAAATAAATAAATAAATCCGTGGACTGGTGGAGTCTGTGTTCTAGTGAGGATGGGAAGGGTTTAACTTTATTGCCAAATACCAATAGTGCTCGCTAGGACCAGGACCTGTCCGAGCACTCGACAGGGATGGCCGTACCTGACCTCACAAATGCCCCCACCAATGTCTTGCCCTCTGAAAACCTGTGAGGCTGAAAGCCACACCCCTGTGGGAAAAGAGCCTGGCATGGAGGGGGAGGCTGTGGACATGTGCTAACCCTGTCCCCTAGGGGCTGCTAGGCTGAGTCTTTGCCCCATGTGTATTTTGAGCCAAAGCAGACACAGGAGGGCAGGTGCGGAGGAAAAAGAGAATCTGGAGGACTCATCTCATTTTCAGCAACTCAGCACCCGCCCGAACTGGCACACCCACCGACAATACCGATCCAAAAATGTCTTCATAATCATCATAACCAACACTTACACGGCCTTTACGAAGGGCCGGCACTCTTTTAAGTGCTGTGCTATATTTTAAAAAGTTTTTTTGTAAATTGTATTTATAAACTGTATTTTATTTTTTTAAGTTTATTTATTTATTTAAAGAGAGAGAGCTCACGCGCACACACACGCAGGTGGGGGCCAAGGGGTGGGGGCAGAGAGAGGGAGAGAGATAATTGGTGCAGAGCCCCTGCATGGGGCTCGATCCCAAAAACCGTGGGATCATGACCTGAACCGAGACCAAGAGTCGGACACTCAAGCGTCTGAGCCACCCAGGCACCCCTATGAATTTTAGTGTTTACAAGACGATTTATAAATATTCACTTATTTAATACCCATGACACCCTTATGAAATCGCCACTTTTTTAATCCCATTGTACAGATGAGGAAACTGAGCTCACTAACACTTAAGTGCCAGAGGTGGGACTAAAGACACTTCTAACTCCCTGCAGTACTGACTCTGGGAGGGGTTCTGGAAAATGCCATCTTCCAGCACCTCGTTACATTTCTGGTGCTTTATAGCACCTCGTGTTGGTAGCTGGCCCATCTGGACCCAGCTCTGGCTCCCATATCATGGCAGCAGCTTGAGAGCAACATAGAGAGAAGAGAACTGAATTAGGAGTAAAAAAAATCAGATTCTAGTCCTAGGTCCCCTCCTTGTGTATCTTTGGGCAAGAACTTACCTCCCTGGGTTCCATCTCCCCACTTGACAAGAAGGGAGCTATAGGAGGTGACCATGCAGGCCCCTCCATCTCCAGCGGGGGCTGACTCCTTGGGGGAGGGGAGGGCAGGGGGCCTCAGCATAACCCAGCCTCAGATGCCACCATCCAGGCAGTCAGCCAAGTGACAATGTCAGGCTGAGCCATGAGAAACCACCACACTGTAGGTCAAAAATGGTTGAATTGCAGTGATTTCAGATGGTCCCACAAAGGAACCAGTGGCTGACATGGCTTGTGGTCTTGTGGGGCCCAGGCCCAGAGCAAAGCATCTTATATAAGGAAGCTCACTTCTCCCCACCCAACCAGAGAGGCTGGCTTTAGTGCTGCCATCTCGGATGTAGGGAAACTGAGAAGTGGAGTCAGGGGGGCAGGAGGTGGCCTCCTGGAGTGGGTGGCCCCCCAGGTGCGAGCCTGGAGCCGCCAGATTCTAGAGCCCACACCCCTAACCACTGGGCTCTGCTGTCATGGGACCCATAGCTGAGACTCAGATCGAAAAGGTTTTCCTAGAAAACGCAAGCAGTCCGGCCTGCCTTCTCTCTCTTGTTGAGAGGACAGCCTTATGGGTGCCTTTCACATCCAGAGGCCTCCATGTGCCCACTTCAGGAAGATACCTTGGCAGCTTAGATTTGCACTGAGCACCCTCTAGGTGCCAGGAAACAGATCAACAGATAAGTGCTGGTCCCTGCCCTCCAGGAACGTCTAGTAATAAGAGAGAACCAATAATTTTGGGAACAAGACAAGAGGCACTCTCTGCAGCTTTTCCCAGGGGAATAGCCCTTGTTCTTGGGGGTTAGATTTGGGGGGAATGTTTGCCTGTTGGCTACCATGTTGAAATACCAGCTCTCCAAAGAGCAGGAAGCTGCCCGCATCTCGACTGCCCACAGCACCAGCAAAGCAAGTATGTGGGGACCACAAGACTGAAGTTCCAGCAGCTTTTTTTCCCAAGAAAACTCTGTTTCCAAAGGGTTCAACAACTCAGCCTGGGCCCAGTGCATTGCTGGGATTCCTACCCCAGGCTGAGAAGAACGTTCTTGATTCCCATGCCAGTGTAGGACCACTGAGCTGCCTTCTCCAAGTCCAGACCAGCTATATAACTTGGGGGCAGAATGAGGAGTTTTCCTGAGCTGACCAACTAGAGCCTTCTCCACATCTTTCCCCATCCGGCAGGTACTCTGGGCTCCCCAAGAACAGAGTGGGTGCCAAGATAGGGGGTTGAGGGTGATGAGCTGTCCTGCTCTTTAGAACTGCCATGGTCTAAGACATTCCCATATTGCTGTCACTTCATAATTACCTTGCACAGAAGAGCTCTTGCTTATGTTAACAAAGGAACAGGTAGGTCAGTTCCAA